TGGCTGCGACTGTCACCTTCCTGACCTACACAGGTAAGCAGCACCTGCCCTTTTCTAAGTCATTTAGAGAAATACTTAATTTGTGGGGGGGGAATGGTCCCTTTTTCACCTTCCAGGACTTGAGACATAATGATTACCAAGTTGTGCCAGGGGAGGTTTAGGTTGGATATTAGGAAAAACCTTCTTCACTGAAAGGGTAGTCAGGCACTGGAACAGGCTGCCCAGGGAAGTGGTGGAGTCCCTGTCCCTGGAGGTATTTAAAAGACGGGTAGATGTGGTGCTTAGGGACATGGTTTAGTGGTGGACTTGGCAGCGCTAGGTTAACAGTTGGACTTGATGATTTTAAAGGTCTTTTCCAACCTAAATGATTCTATGATTCTATGTTTGTTTTCTGCTTATTTTGAGGAATATTCATTTTGGGATGAAGATGGCAGTTTAGGATATCTAGGCAGCAGGTGAAATGTTGGCACATGAGAAGCCATAGCTTGCCCCAAGACTGGGAGCACCATCCTTGAATGTCCCCTAACACACCCCCTCGGTCCTGCACTGAGCTCTTCTGCTTCCCCCAAAGCTCAGGGTGACAAGGGTGGGATTTCCCCATGTGCTGCTATTACACAGTTCAAGCAAGCAGCTGCCAGAGCTGGGCAGCAGAGGTGCTCCCAGAGCCTCCCAGCAGGCTGGAGGTGTCGTGGGTCTCCTGGTCCAGCTCTTTGTTGGTCTTTCAAAGGATGCAAGTGAGACTGATGGCCATCCTTCTCTTCCCATACAGCCGGGCCGTTCACGGGGGCCTTCTTCAACCCTGCCCTGGCCACAGCCACCACCTTCCACTGCTCAGGGAGCAGCTTGTGGGACTATGTCCAGGTTTACTGGCTGGGGCCCCTTGCAGGTGAGATCTGCACCCTGGTACCTCCTGGGCAGGGGTTGGGATGGGGGGCAATGGGCAAGGCAGAAATGCTGGGTGTAACACAAACCATTCCTGGCGAAGAGCTGAACCTGGGTCTTACCAGTGACAAGTGTCCTTTTCTGTCCCCCTTCCTTGTCACTCAAGTCATCTCTTTGCTATCCATTTTTTTAAATCCAATTTCTACATGGGACATAGGCAGAACTGTCCCCAAGGCCAAAGTTTGGCGGAGATGAAACAAAGATGTTTTAGGGCAACAATAGGCTGAGCTATGCTATTGAGGTCCACAGCTTCAGGATGACCGCGGGGAGCTGGATATGTGCTGCTTAGAATCCAGAGAGTGGGGAAAGGACAGTGCTGGCATGGTTTATGGCCCTTTTGGGTCAAAACAAGCCTTGCTATTAAATTAGGGACACAATGGTTAAATTCTTCTTAAAGTAATATAGCAAGGGTCTTTTAGATACTGTCAGTGGGGACTTCAGTGGTGCTGAGCTACATTTTGGTCATAATGAAGGTTGTGGCAAGGGCCTGAAAATCACTGCTCAGCTGTGGCGGTGCTCGATGCAGCACACGGAAGGGATCCGTGCTCTCGTTTCAGGGATGCTTGCTGCCCTCCTGCTGTACCAAGGCAACATCCCACGACTCTTCCAGAAAAACCTCCTTTACAGCCAGAAGAACAAATACAAGATACCCAAGGCAAGGGTGGTGGCTCACATGCAGGGTTATGAACCCCATCAGAAGAGGAAAGCGGAGAAGACCAACTCTGAGCCTCATGCCTGAGCTGTGGACAGGGGCCGAGGAGGTCCCTGCAGCCCCGCTCCTGGGAGCAGCTTTCCCGGCATGGAGGATTTTGCTGCTCATCCCATCCAGCATCCATCCTGCCCGTTCAGTCCCTACCATGGGATAATATTTTTTTAAAGCATTGCAAAGGAGTCAGCCATGCTGGCCTTCCAGGATGTCTGAATCCCTGAGCTCCTTTGGGAATAGCTTTGAAAGACTCCCTGGAGAACCCGAAATGTTTCAAGCCTGCATCGCTAGCTTGGTAGGGGAAAAAAACCTAACACTTTTGCATAAATTGCTGGTTGTCTTGTATTGCCAGGAAGCTTACAGAAAGTCAGGACCATTATGCGGGTAGGCTTGAGCAAGTCCCAGGTTATTGCATCGTGCAATGCTTGAAATAACCTGACTGGGTCTCTTGCAGCCATAAAAACAAAGCATAAACCAGTAACCACCTTGGAAATTTGGGATGAAGAGGAAGCAGGCTTTGATCTTTCGAGTTAGAAAATGGATATTGGTCAAAAATTGGTGTTTTTTGAGTTAAACTGAGGTCCTTGAATTGCATGGGCTGAACCTGGCAGTTCTTGGAGAGGAATTAAAAATGCTCCAGGGCAAGGGAGTTCACTGGCCACAGGAGACCCTGCTCCTCTGTGGATGCGGTGCTTGGCCTGGGTTTCGTGTGCTGTAAGGCATCAAGAAATGGTGCACAAAGTGTCTGTGGTTAAAAAATGAGGCCCAGGCAGCCGGTACGCAGCTGGCATGGCTGAGCAAGTGCATCCCCGGGCTCTTCTCTATGTCTACATGAAATATTCCTAAAGATAAAATTACGGTTTGTGGAAATAATAATAAACATAAATGTTGTGAGTGGCATTTAGGTGAGTGATGTCATTCCTGTGAGCTCTGTGGGGGGGACATCAGCCCATCTGATCCCCAAAAATGGGAGAAGCCGTGGGGATGTCCAAACCGACACTGCCTCACCTGCTGCTTGCTCTGGAAAGGGGGTAATCTGGGTGGAAAGACCTGCTAGGTAAACAGGGCTCCCTCCAGGCAATGCTGGGGCCAGGGCACCCCATGGGTGCTGCACTCCGGGGGTCTCTCCACATGGGAGAGCAGGGACTGGGGCAACCTCATGTGTGGCATCCCTGGAGCAGGGCCGCTGGGCATGGCTGGATACCGAGCTGCCACCCAGAGATCTCCCCTGCCGAAAATGGCCGGTTCCTGCATTTTGCAGCAAATAGTCAATTTTGCAGGACCTCTCTGGGCAGAAAGTTCCTGAGCTGAATATATTCTTGATGCACTACAGCTTTTCAGAGCAATCACAGGGTGCATGCTCTGGGGCAAGCTGTGCTTTTCATGCCATGCTCTGGTTGCACAAGTGTCCCTGCCCTGGATCACCTTGGCAGGAGCTCAAGCAGGGAAGATCTGCTCCCATTTATTGCATTCCAAATGGTGAATAAGGAAGTGGCACCTGATTGAAATCCGGAATGAACAGAGAGCCCAGGAAGGTGTCAGATGCAGGTTTGGTACCCAGACACGTGGTGCCCCCTGTCCCAGGTGCCAGCCCTTCCCCTCCCCGCATCCCCACTATGTCCCCTGTGGGGTCTGGCGGATGACCGTGTCTACGCTGCCTGTGGGCTGCCCATCTACCTTGCTTGCACGTGGGATTGCCCTCTGGGGTGAACCGGAGACTGCCCAGGAACCGAGAGGGGAGATGAATGTCTGCAAAACATGAGACCACACCACATCTCAACAGGAGAAATGAGGGAAGGGACTAATGCAGCGATACCTGGACATGCCTCGGAGGTGAAACTATGGAACAAACAATGCCTCAAAAACCATGTCCCTGCATCGTGCCTGGCTGGATGCTTGGTGCTGCCTGGGCCCTTGTGGGGAAGGGCAGTGGGAATGCAGTCTGGTTTTTATCCAGTTAAACTGTGAGCAGGAGATGGGGCACCTTTGGGTGGAAACCAAAACCTTTGAGGCTCCACGTGGCTGGCCAAGGGAGAGTCTGGGATGCTGAGATCCCCCTGGCAATTTTTTCTGAACCTCTTTTGGTTTGGAAATCGTGCTGAAAATTCTGAGCTGGGGCCTCCGTTTATTCAAACCGATTTGCTGGCTCTGCTTTTGATTTGAGGATAAGTGTAGGATGTGAAAAGTAAGGTTGACTAGCCTACCACAACCCGTTCTTGTGGTATTATTCCCCAGGCAGAGCATAGAATATTCCTACAGCCACTCCAAGTGGTGGGTTGGGATGTCTGGCTCCAGAGATGCTCATGAGATGTTTCCTGGATGCGTGGGTATTTCACTTGCAGTTTGACACCACGGTGCTGGCGTCAGCTCTGTGGTATGATGCCAATCCTATAAATGCACAGCATCTGAAGGCAAGGTGTACCCACAGAGCCAGGGCAAAAAAACACTGATTCCTACAGCCACTCCAAGTGGTGGGTTGGGATGTCTGGCTCCAGAGATGCTCATGAGATGTTTCCTGGATGCGTGGGTATTTCACTTGCAGTTTGACACCACGGTGCTGGCGTCAGCTCTGTGGTATGATGCCAATCCTATAAATGCACAGCATCTGAAGGCAAGGTGTACCCACAGAGCCAGGGCAAAAAAACACTGATTTTTTTTTTTTTTTTTTAATTCCCCCCTCCCCCCTGGACATTTTCAGATGTTTGAGGTCTGTTTCTTGGTCTGCTGGGGAGATTGTCTACTGGGCAGACTGATGCAATTAAGGGGAACTCAGTAGAAGTGACAGGGAATATTGTTATTTTTAATTAAGAGGCTGCTTTTCCAGCACAGTAGCACCAAGCTGTAGTGGAGGAGCGATGCAGCTGGACAGACAGACTTGTTCCCAAGCTGTAAATCAAGCTCCGCAGCTCTGATTTACAGCTTGGCCCTGCGCTGTTGCGGTCTGTGGCGCAGAGCCGAGGACTTGGGCTGCCCTCCTGGTTCTGCTCCTTGCTGCTGGAGTCGGCGCTACGCAGCGCAAAGCCCCAGATTGCCTCCTCCAAGGCTTCGGCCGCCAGTCAGGGGTTTTTGCCCTGTTTGCTCAGGACCTACCCTGGAATAGTCATGTCGTGTCGAGCCCCTGGGACCCCGCTGTTGCAGCCCATCCTGCTCCGCAGCAACAGCAGCATGTAGCAACCAAGAGCTTGTGCACAGAACTGCACAGACTGAGGTGGCCAGGGGCTCTCGTGGGCAGCAGCGTCCCCACCTGCCTGCCTCTCCTGGGGCAGAAGTAGCCCCCGAGCCCAGGAGGCGAGTGCCTCGCTGTCCTCAGCAAAGGCAGCTGGAGAACGATGCCTGGAGGGGACAAGGAGGCTCAGTTGTGGGTGCCCTCCAGCCTGTGCCGCAGGGCATTGCCCCGCTGAGAGGGAGCGGGCTGCTGGCTCTGGAGGCGCTTCTGGGCAAACTGTTTCTTGTAGAGAGCACTGCTGTACTGCAGCTCCGGGGTCACCAGCCGCCGGCACATTCGCTCTGTCTCCTTATCCAAGCCCTGCTTGAGGTTATAGCCCAAGATCTTTGCATTGCCGTGCTGCAGTGGCTGCAGGGAAGAGTCCTTGATGTCCTTCGGGGCCACGCTGCCCATCCCTTGCAGGCAGGTCCTTGCCAGCTCTGCCCGCCTCTTCCGAAGTGCCTTTACTTCCTGCTGCATGCGCTCCCTGCCGATGTCTCTGTCAATCCTTTCCCAGAAGGTCCTGTTGAAGTGGATGTAGATTTCCCAATCCAGCCTGTTCCAGTCCTTTATCTTCTCCACGATGGTGTCCGAGAGGGGGAACTTGGTGCTGCTGTCCCTGATGTTTAGTGGGAAGGAGACGATGCTGTCCAGGTCCCAGCACAGCATCTCCTTCAGCAGCACCATGGACTCATCGAAGTACTCGGAGATGAGGAGCAAGTCAAAGGATGCCTCGATGGCCTTCAGCATGAGTTGCACCCGCTTGGCTGAGAACTCTCCATCAGGGTTGAAGCCAAAGTCAAATGTCATGAGGTTCTTGGCATAGTGGCTGTTGGGGTCTGCAGGGTTGTAGAAGTGGTAGGGATGGCTGAGGAACTCCTCCAGGCTGCGGGCACGGGAGAAAGCTGATGTGCCCTTGTAGTACATGAAGGAGGACTCCATGAGCTGCACAGGGTTCCTCAGGATGGAGAAGTACACAGCTGAGCTGGACACCACTTTCTGCACCTGCAGAGGAGAAAAAGGAGGTTTTAAGGGTGGGGTAGGGAGAAGGCACCTGCTCGCTCACAATCCTGTGCTCTGCTGGAAACCAGAAACACTTCACTGGGCTTGGAGATGGTGGGTGCTGGGGAGGGTTTCAGGGTGTAGCTCATCAAAGGAGCATTTGTGTCAGCTGTGGGGAGCCCCAGAAGAGGTACGTGGGGAGAGCAGTGACCAAAGCTCCCCACTACATGCTGCCACAGCTGGGTGGCCTGTCCAGGCTTGATATATGTTCTATCTCCTTGCCTTTCCCCAGATCTGCGTGTCCTCAAGTGTCATCCAGAAGGGTGGATGCTGGGCATGGCTGACCTGAGCTGCTGCGCTTAAGGCGTTCTCCTCTTGAAGCTGGTACCTCTGGCCTGTCCAGGGGGCAAGACATCTCCAAGGGCCCACCAGACAAGAACAAGATGATAGTTGCTGACTGCTACAGACACTGTCCCCTGGCTTGTGGACAGCACAATGGTTCATGAAACCTGTTTATAGAAGTTCTCAGATACATGCAGGGTACCTGGGGGTAATCCTGTCTCTCTTTAGCTTCATCCCTGAAGAGTTTATGTGCTCTATGGGTGTTCCACCTTGCTCCCCATGAGTCCCTCTCTCCCTCCCTGCTTTGCCCCTCCCAAGGCATTGTGGCTTTGCCCGTACCTCTGACTGCAAGAATCGCATGTGGTGGCAAAGGATGTTGAACCGCTGAGGGCGCCTGGGGGAGAAGCCCTTCACGAAACTTGCCAAGAAGTGGTGTGGGTAGAAGAGCTGGTTGCCACCCCCGATGGGGAAGGCAAAGGTGAGGTTGTGTGTCTCACCGAAGCGGAAGAGGATGTTCATGACAGTGCTGCTGGCGCTCTTGTGGACTTTCAGGAAAACAATGTCAGTCTTAGGCTCACACGTCTCCCTTTTAAAGGAGACCCTTCTGGCCTGCTGGCTTTCTCCAGGTGTCACCTCCTCAACCTTAGAGACTTCTGTCCAGTTTGGGAAAAATTCCCTCTCCAGATCTGTCTTGTAAAAGTCCTCCACCTGTGGAGGTTGAGCTGAATTTGGCATGGCATGTATAAGCGAGCTGCCCCACTGATGGTGGGGAGAACCCATGGCTTGAGGCTGAGACTGGCTCTGTACCACCACCTGTGTTGTTCCTGGTGGTGACGTTCTCCTGTGCTCCTCTGTGGTCATCCTGTTTGCAAAGATTATGAACTTGCTGGTGACAGCATCAGCATCTCCCAAAACTGTGGACATCCTCCCAGGAAGACTTGGAGAAGGAGTCCCTCTGGTTGCTTTTCTCAGGCCAGGAAGCTGGGATTTTAGCCTCGTGGATGAAAGATGGGCTTTCACCTTGCTGCTCTCCACAGGCTGCCACATCCAGTGCTCCTCTTGGCTGCGTGGGCTGCTTTCCAGTGGGGTCTCCTGGCTGAAGTACAGATCCATCTGAAAAACGTCCTGCGCGCTCTCAGTCGAAGTGGGGTCCAGCATGGCTTTCCTCTGCCAGTGCGGAGAATCGTCCTCCCACAGCAGGTCAGGGGTCTGGAGGGCATAGCTGAGCTGCTTCTGGCCATGGTCTGTGGTCTGCTGCAGGGCATGCTCCAGGTTGCACTGGCAGTTTCTGTAACAGGGAGGACACGAGGCTCAGCTGCAGAGGATGGAAGGAGCATGCAAAAAGCGTAGCTCCTCTGCAGCCCAATGAAACCCCCCTGCAGACACCCCAAAGCGCATTCCCCTGTCTTTCTTGGGGTGGGTGGCATTGCTGGTGGGTGTAGGACTTGACCACTGCTCTGGGAGGTCGGTGTGAGCGCAAGAAGAGGACAGGTCAGCAGTGATGTGCTAATGCCCCTGTCCCACTGGAGCACTGTGGGCTGGTGGAAAGGGACAAGGCAAGAGAAGGCAGAGAGGGAGAAGTGTAGGTGGCCTGGAGAAGCTGGAGGTAAGTCTGGAGATGACCCCAGATTGGGAGGACTGGGAGGACAGTCAAGGGCTGTAGGGTTTTGAGGCCAGCCAGGACAAAGCCCAGAGCAGCCTGGTCTGGACCCAGTGTGGGCTCAGCTCTGGCCAGGGCATAGGGGTTGGATGAGAGACCCCCAGAGGGGTCCTTTCCCACCTGGATTTTCCTTCCTGTCTAAAGAAGACACTGTTGGGTGGTTTTCAGGAGGGCAGTTTTGAGCCCACCTCAGTGGTCAGCAGAAGGCTGGAGGATGAGGTGCAGGTTTGCAATCCTGCTTAGGACCTACTTGGGAGGCTGCAGCTTCTCCATGGCTTGAAGTGTAACCAAGAGGAGGATGAGGAGGCTGAAGAAGACCCAGAACCGACCTGGCTGGCCCCTGTATATTGCTTTCAACTTCCTGCAAGGAAGCAGATGTTTCAGAGCATTAGTAGGTAGAAGAAATGCATGTGTGAGGCAGGAGGGAAA